AGGAATGTTTGTAAAGCAAAAATAAGGTGATATTCAGATTCAGCTCGCCTTCCTCTATCAGAACATATGTGTTAAAGTCAAAAATAAAATAGTGCTTAAACTTTGAATTTGGTGCGCCTTAACGACCCACAACATTGACTACAAAGCGAGAGATTTGATTACCATTTTCTTTAATTTTATTATCGTAAAAATCTTTTCCTAGTGGAAATGCGACAGGATATGCTTTAAGACCTCGAAAAATATCTGTAGGTCGAGTAAGATCAACTACGAAATCATATGAACTGTGAATATTTGATAACGTGTCTTTTTCTTCATTTTGATTATCATCTGATTTTGAAACAATTGATACCAGATAATCAGCAAAAGTAGGTGGAAAATCTTTCACAAATTCCCAAATATTCTTCGCTGATTTCGCAGTTTCAATGACTAATTTCACATTGGACAGAACCGTGCTGGATTCATCAACAACATTAAATATATACGCAAGTAAGATGAAAAATATAGTATTGTTAGACATACGCATGTTTTTTTTTTGTTTTTTTTTCTTATTATGTAGGGTGATTTACATTTATCTCTAGGAAGCGCTTGCAACGATGCGAAGAAAAAAATAAAAGCGCACAAAAGAAAAAGAGACTACAATGTATTTGTTATTAGTGATGCTGCTGAATACATATTTTTTTCCTTTCAACGGCGAATTAGAGAACAGTGTAGAGGGAAGATTAACAAAAAAGGGGGACTGTATATAGAAGGAAAAAATAACAAATCAAAAAGCAAAAGAAAAAAGAATGAAAAAATAGAAAAGAAAAGGTATGAAGAATAAAATGTAAGTCTTCGTTTCTTTTTAGGTATTATCAATTATTTTATGGGCTTGGCATTACTTCACGATTGAAGTGATGTTGTTGGTCTAGATTAACTATTGAATTGACGGACATCCAATACACTTGTTGATGTACTGGTGACGGGTGAAGAATTTATTTCATATTTCTGATCTACTTTGCTATGTTAATCAGGAACTCGTAACAACAGTAAGCTATATATGTATCTATCAAAACCATCAGTCCTAAGATTATTGAAACTGTGACCATACCTGCATAGGAACAATATTTTAAACTCATTTTGTTTTGCTGACTGAAAATGGCTTTTAACTGTACATGTTTGTTCCCATAGTGAGACGAGCAGATTCGAAAATCAATGCAATTTATCAAAGAAATGGAAAATAATATAGAAAAAAGTCAATCAACTGAGACTGGCAGTGATACCAATTATTTATTTAGTAGTATTATGAGTGAACTTCGATTTGATATTCTTAGTTCAACTGGACACACATATGAACTGATTTCTGGTGGCAAAGATATTCCAATAACAGCCGATAATTTCAAAGTATACCGTACATGTTATTGTGAATATGGTCTAAATGAATTTTGTTGACAAATCGAATAAATCCGTCAAGGTTTATGCAGTTTTGTGCTGAATCATTTTCTCACTTTACTAACAACTAGTTAATTAAAAGAAGCCGTATGTAAAAAAAAAAGTCAAATCGATATTGAATTGTTGAAACAGAATATTCAGTATAGTAATTCTAGTCTCGAATCGCCATATATTGAACGATTCTGGAAAGTTTTAAGTGAAATATTCAATGAAGAACAGAAAAAATCATTCTTAAAATTCGTTTGAGGAATAAATACATTGCCAAGTCAAGCTGAAGATTTCACAGAAATATTTTCCATCAACCTAATAGTGAGAAATGAATGGAAGACGAATAGAATGCTTCCATGTAAGTAGAACTGATCCATGTCAATGTCACGCTTAATCATCGCATCTTTGAGAAAGAATTTCTTTTTCATTTCAAATTAAAAGAAGAGATTTTTTGAAACTATTTGGTCTTTGAGCAACGCTAACTTATGGATTGAAAGTCATATATACAAAGTCATTGCTTTATGATCTTTGTAGAGCTTGCCATTCAAGAATTATAAGAGTTTTTCAAGGACTGTCGATTGTTTTCTGATTATCTGAAACTAAACTTCTCGAGAGAAATAGTCTACTACGATAACATGTATATCGACAATATTTTGAAAATCATTTTAAGTGGATTCACATGGGAGGTCTCATACGCGACTTGCAATCCTTGAATAGAATATGGTAGACTGTAAATTCATATACTATATCTTTTAGAAAATAAGTAATGCGACGCAAACGTTGCTAACCCTCTACTGAAAGGATGTGATCTAGTTAAACATATGGTATTCAAGCAGAGAAATATTAGAACTAATGTGATGGTATGCATCTATGAAAAAGTAAATTGCGCTCGTCACCAAGACTCTCTTGATAACGGTCTGAATTTAATTTAACCATCGTATCTCATCGTTTACTGAATTCTGTTTTGAGAACTATTGCTGAACACGCGCACTTATACACAAGCACTGTTTATTATCTTATCAAAGATAAACCATTTTGTAAAAAAGACCGAACCTTTCGGTTAAGACTGTGTAAAATGAACTTTAATTGACAACTCACCCTATGTCACCGTCGTCCTAACACCGACCATCACTCCCGACCGCTCGAATTCGCGTATGATCCGAGTAGTATTTAAAGTGAT